GCTAATTCGTGGTTTTCACGGACGAAATTCTCACTTACAGGGATGGCGCACTCGACATTTATCGAATTTAACGTCTTTAAATAATAATTTGCCTACTTCAAAGTTTCTTAAGGGTATACAACATATTAAACCCGTTTAACAAAAGGTTAAGTTAGATTCCGACCCATATTTCGTTTAACAATATTGCATACAGCGCCATTTCCCTCCCTGGTGGTGAGGTTTCGAACTTCCTTTTTTTCGCGGAAAATAAATTCCCATGACCTCCTTTACACGATTTCCAAGTTTGATAACATTTGATCCAGTAGTTTTCCTTTTATGACCGTTTCAATGTGGAACTTTAATTATAACCACTCTGTATATTATTAAATTTTAATTTGAAGCTATGCTTTTATATGTATACCATGCGTAAAATTTTCGCTTTTATGGAAAAATAAAAAATCGAAGCAAATATACTTAGTATAATGCACCAAAACTGAAAACATTTCCCCTCCCTCCGAAAATAAAATATTGAAATTTCGAACTTGAATTTACTTTGTTATCGAAATATTTAATTTGACTTCTTCTAAGTCCTAGTTCCGACAACAATTCCATCAAAAATTCCGAATTACTTAAACTAAAGTTAAAGATTTAGTATATATTCACTGTATGTTAATAAAGTAATCAGAGTGTAATAAAAATAGATTATAGAATTTACGCTGATGTAACTTTTTGTCTGACTGCACAACATGTAATGGAAGAGAAGGTTTGGTAGAGATCGTTTTTCACATGCCTCTAAAAGTAGATGTCATATTAATTTTGTCTCTTCAATGTCAAAAAACTTTCCTTTGAGAGGCAACTTTAGTTTTTGAGAAAGAAAAAAAATCACAAGAAGACAAATTTGAAGAACATGGCAGGACGATTGAATATACATAATTATTTTCCGAACACAAGCGGTTCTCCGACTGGTTATTGAATAATGAAAAGATGCATTGTCATGCAATACAAAACATTTGGAATACGTTTTTCTGGCTGAATAACGTAAGATTAAAAGTCATCTGCTTAATTCACATCCATTTACAAGTCAACTACTCGGGCAATTGCAGAATCGTTTTGATCCTGAGCTTGTAAGGACAAACCTAATATCACTGGATTTAAACACTTCTTTAATCTTCCAAGAACGTTCCTTCTTTAGTTCTCATATTCCAAGAATATTAAGTGAATACAATTATTGCCAAAGAAATTGAATATTCATTTGCACTACGGCTTGGTAGTTTACTAACGAGTTAACAAAACTTAAATTCTGCTTTTTGTGTCAAAGAATACAACAATATTTTAAATATTTACAAATAAAATATTAAATTGGAGATTTAATTGGAGCCTCATCAGTTGCCTAGCATTTGAAAAAGAAAATATTGTTAAATACTAATTGTTTGCTGCTCAGTCTAACCCAGGCTGCATGGTTTGGTTTTCGTAGATTTTTTAGGTTCTCTTTACAAAGATTCTCTATGAAAGCATCTTAATCAAATAGCTCCCATGTTCTTTCTATGTTCAAATAACCAACTAACCTAGTTTAAGCGCGATTTCCAAGTGAAGTTACTAGTAAAATCCAAATACTCATTAAAAATCCTGTAGCTAGCCAATCGAGAGTAACATGAAAGATACGGAACCAATAATTGAAATGTTGTTACGGTCCGCTGTTTCTTAACTTAGATGGTCATTCCTTAATGAAATAGCCCACCAACAGCCAAGCGGTAAAGACGCTGAACACTGGTAGTTCGGTTCGAGTTTCGAATCCCGCGAACGGGCTGGCCGCATGAGCGGTTTCGTGGTTTTCCCCATGTGTAACGTGTATACGAGCCAGTTTCCCTTAGAAAGTCCTCCACGAAGGCATCCCTCCCTTTAGGCAGATAGCCCTCGTGTGCTTTGCCATAATTAAATAATCCAATTCAATCCTTAATTAAATATAATTGATTTGTAAATTCTACTAGAACTGACGGTAAGAATTGAAGTGGAAATAAGTAATATGGTGTGCAATCTTGATTAATATAAAATTTAAAATATTTGCATAGAAAAATGTTTGCATTCAGACAGAAAGTTTTTTGAAATATTTGCAATTACTTTATAAGAAGGATTTATTAATAACAGCAATAATTACTTATTATATTACTGATGATTAGGATTCAGTTCTTGACAATTACATTCTAAATTAGAATTTTAAGGATATAATGAAAATACGCTACGCACAAAAATACATTTTAGGAAAAAAATGAGTTGATTTTTTATGTTTTAAAACTTCTTAATTCATTTAGTAAACATCGTATCCTCGTTGTTTATTGAATCCAGAATGTTGGTGTCGTTTATATAATTATTCTTACTGGTCCACAGAATCTGCTGACTTATCCAGCCATTAAGTAGCTGCAGATCATTTCTACATAACCATTGAACTTCCATTAATTCAGTCTCTAGAGGGTTGTATGTTTATATCATAATTTGACTTTTATAAAAAATGATTATTCTAAATATTATGTTTCTATAAAAATATATTGTGCTTTAAAAATATGGATAATAGTATCAGCCGCTCTTTCAGCCACTTCAAAAGCAACAGTTTGTTTAGAAATAAATTATGCCATAAAATTCATAAAATTCAAATAAATATCAAACGAAAATTCTCAGTTTTAGACAATTCGATTTAAACGAAGTAAAGTAGCAGACGATAAAACGCCGAAGGTAAAAATTTACTCTTACAAAAACTTACTCTTAAATTTTTTTTAAAAAAGAAAAGATACGAGAGAAATTAAAAAAAAATAGTTAAAAATTTGAATAATATCATCTATAATTTAAAAAATAGCCTTTCATATAGTATTAATAAATATTTATTACGCATCATTGAGGGAAAAAATGTCATATAATTAATTCTCCGTAAAATTTTACTTGAAGTTTAAGGTTAAAAATAGCTGTGTAGCATCTTTGATGACAATTGCTATCTGTTTTTGTTTTTATATCTTGGTTTCTGCTGTATTAAGCATAATAAACATGTTTTCTCACTCTGTTTGTGTTCTTCCCTTTTTGTGTTGTCACTACTGTGCCAGGAAAGCATTTCGGACCATGCATTGCTATGTAATTTTCCATCGTCTAAATGTACTTTCTATCTTCTGAGAGTTTGTAACCGATTTGAAAACACCATGTATATGTTAGTATGGCAGCTATGCATGCAACATTATATTATGAAATGAGGTTGATAAAAATGAAAATAAGTGCTATGTTAAAGGATTTATGCCATAAAAATTGAGTTATAAATTATTAATTAAAAATGAAGATAATTAATAAATAGTCTTGTCAACAGTGGAATTAAGTTTATAATAGATACAAAAGTATAACTGAATAACATATCAGTTAAGTACATGCTCTAAGTTAAAAATGAGAAATACATTATTAAATCATATCCCCCAAAAAATAATAAATACATAAGTAGAAAACTGTCAATCAAGGTATAAGAACCTGCACCCCTAGTTGATATTTACTCATGCTTGACTTGTATGAAAAGTAAAAGGCCAGTTACATAGTGTATTCAAATGTCTTTCTGCCTGCGTTGAAAAGTAGTCTTTCTGTGAGAAACCGAAAGGAACAAGTGAAAGTTAATTGTATTAATTTTTTTCCTATTTCTACCATAAATGTTCTGTATAAGTTTGCTTACGTTAGATAGAGTCTAATAGTTTTAATGACTGTTACTACAGGAGCATTATTATATTTACAGTATTAATAGTGTATGTTTTTTATTAGTCTTTCGAATCTCACAATTCTTGAGAAAGGTATGAGATTTGAAAAATTGAATCTTTAGGCTTTATATGTCATTTGAATCCTAACCTTAAAAGTTGTTAAATTTTTATCTCAAAATTTTAGAAAGTTAGTTTTAGGCTGTTGCAATTTCAACAGACCTTAAATCAATCATATCATTTTATGACAGCCCTAGCATTTTTTGGCAAGAAATTAGCATTCCATGTTTAGTGTTTGTTTCTGTTAACTCTTGAAATAATCCCTTCCTTTCTACATTTGCTTTGATTTAAAATAATTCTGGAAATTTTTTAAAAATTTGAACTGATCTCAAATATTTTTGATAAGTTTGGAGTTTGGATTCAGATTATGGCAAAGCACGTGGGGGCTATCTTTCTGAGGTAAGAGATGTCTTTGTTGAAGATTTTTTAAGGGAAACTGGCTCATTTTCATGTTACACACAAATAAAACAATGCAACCAGTCCATTCATGAGACTTTGAACCTGAGGTGAACTACCAGTGTTTCGGAATCTTCTGGTTCAGCTGCTAGCATGCTGTTGTATTGAGACAATTAACCCCAGGATTCAAGAATTTTAATTATTTACTAAATCCCATTTGCATTTTAAAAGATATGTATATTAACCCCCACCCAATTAAACATGTTTCAGATTCTGCTTTAATTAAAAGTTTTAATTTTAAATAAAAATTGTCTTCCTTTTTTCATTGTATGCTTTTATGAAGGGTTTAAGAGATTTGAGAACTTTTTAAGGTGCAGATTAAAGAAAATTTTAAATTTGTGCTATCTGTAATTATTGCCACATATGCACCATAGTGGTATTATTATCATCACAGGAAATAAGTCTCTTACAACACCAAAAAATTATTGGTCAGAATTATATACAAACTCAGCCCAGAGTTTTCAGAAACTTATCTCATTTGTAACTGAAGAAAATATACCTTATATTGAAAATTGTTCTCACTTTTATATGGTGTAGAGTTTTTGTCGCATAACATAAAGTATTATTTGCTGTCAGCAAATGCAAATATAATGCTTACCTTTTTAATTTTTCATTTTGGAAGTTGGAATACTGAGAACTAATTTGTGGTTTTATGTAATAATTTTTGGTGCTGTAAGAGACTTATTTCCTCTTTATCAAAATGTCTGATAAATTTGGAACATTGTAAAGCAAACTCATATAATTTGTTAGTTTTTTTAAATAATGAATTATATTACATGAATAATTTTGCAGGAATGTCACACGCGGGAGATGGATCTCTCTCTAATGACCAGTACCTCTGTAAAATATGCATGGATAAAGAAGTAGGTGTAGTGTTCCTGCCATGTGGACATCTTCTTGCCTGCATTTCATGTGCCCCATCTCTTAAATTGTGCCCAATGTGTCGAAAAGTTATAAAAGCTACAGTTAGAGCTTACTTACCCTAGATATTTGTAATTAAATATATCTATTTATTTTATTTTTGTAAATATCAAATTAACAGTAAAAAGCTATATGAAAGTTATGTTTTTTTCTTCTTTAAAAAAGAGTTGTCATGTAAGAAAGAGGACATGTGGAATAATAAATGTCAAAGGAACTGATAATGAAAAACCAGAATTGGCATAACATGAATAAATTTGCAGGACCGTAGTTTCAAACCTTAAATAGCTCTTTCCTATCCAGTTATAGGATTAAAACAAACAAGCAAAACATATGCTTGCACAAGAGCACAGCCAAAAATTTTCTAAAAGGTTCTAACAAATAAAACCAAGCCTTTTTCTTTCAAATTAAAACTGTACATACAAGGTGTCTCCCAAAAGTTATGAAATATATTTTTTAGGTGCTTCGGAGTACACCTTAGGTTTATCTGCTCTGAGCATTAGTGCATCAGGATTACTGATTTTGTGTATTCCCTGTTTTGAAACCACGTCGTATTGGATACTTTTGAACGATGTTGGATGATCAAGTTTTGCACAAAAAATTATAAAAAAAAAAAAAAAAAAAAACTTCAGGAACTCTTGAACTGTTTAAACAAGCATACAGGGGGTCTGCTGATTTTTATGTGTAAATTACAAGATGGGTGAAGTCAGGGCTCGTAGCAGTCCTTACAAGTGCTTATAAGTCCTTATATTTGAAAATAAAATATAAAAGCCCTTATAGGTGCTTACTTTTTCTCTAAAACATTTAATTTTTTGTTTTTAGTGCTTTTTTTTTAACGAACAGACGTTTTTTCCCAGTACTTTTCCGTTTCACCGGCGCAAATCTTGTCAAGCAGATTTTATTGCCGAGAACATACAGTATACACATAAAAAATGTTAGTTTTAAGAATTCTTTTATTTTAAAGGCATAAACATTTTAATATCGTTTAAAATTTTATAAAAAAACCAATAAATAAAGACCATAAATTTGTAAAAAGACATTAATGTAAGAATTTACTATGCTTTCATGGTTCAACATCCTGATTCACCGGTTCATATCACGTGACCCTAAGTGCTCATCTTGCGTAAACTATGCTATAAAAAAGTCTAATTCTCTTAGTAATTATCTACATTAATTTCAAGTTAAATCTTAATTTGGAATGCAAGAATTATTTCAATTCGTACGAATAGCTTACTCAGAAATTGTGTAAAACTGTAGTGCTTTACTTCGCTAATGCATTCTCATTAGAATTGATGAATTTAACCCTTGACTTTGCCTTTTCTATCTATATTTTCGACTTCGGGTGAGCAGTGTGATTGCATCCTAATTGACTTAATTACCGCGAATGGCCTTAGAGTATAAAATTGAACTACCTGATAAAAAGTCTATGTAATTGTATGCTAGTATTGAAAGAAACAATCAATCGGATAAGAAATGGATGCGATTTGTTTTGGAAATGATGCGTAAAAGGTTACCTGCGAGGATGTTCCGTTTGGCATCAGTTGTACCATTATTGGCGACTTTATCATCTGTGCTGACAAAACGGAAAAGTACCTAAACAACTTTTCTTCCTTATATGGAATATCAGAGGGTGAATCATTTATAATAATATATTTGCAGTAACTGCTGAAGTATAGATAAACTTCAAAAATGGCCCAAGTGTGTTTTAACACAGATTAGTTTTCTAAGGGATAATATTCGGAATGGCATTAATACAGTAAAAATAATCAAATAGTTTTTTTGCCAGTGCATTATACAGTACTGAAGTTGGGGTTTTTCCCCTTTCTCCGCAAAATCTCGAATATTGAAACCATTACAGTTCGCAGCAAAGCATGCAATGGACTTTTTTTGGGGGGGGTCACTTTCCACCCTGGATTGAATAGGACTAAAAGTTTTGCGGTCTATCAACCCAAGCAAAGAATGATTCTGTTCCGGAAATTGAACGCAATCTATTCAAAATTAGAATGAAAAACACCCCAGATTGGTAAATCTCTTTATTAATCAATATGAATATGGTAGGCAACGTGTCCTGCTCAATGATAAATATACCACATGGGTGCATGACGGAGCAAAGGGGCATTTTCCTTTATTTAGTTATTTATTTATTTAGTCAGTTATTTCCTTTATTTAGTCAGTTATTTATTCTCTGAATACTGGCAGCTGTTGATTTCGATTGCGTAATATCACGTGCTGTGGAAGAATTAAGGTGCACGTATTGTTATTTAATAGAGATAAAAGAGTTTTACTGTACTTGCTAAGCAGATTATTTTCGAGTTCCATTGGGCTATTTTTTTATATGATGCACATATCAAAATGTCTAAAGCATTAGTTAGCCGAAAAATCTAAAGAACGGCTACAATCCCCCCCTTCTTCCTATTTTGCCAGTTATACTCGACTATTCGGAATTTTCAGATATTCAGTTTCCGAGTATCCCGGTTAGTTAAGATTTACTGTTAAAGGATGACTGCATGAAACAATTTCCCGTCTTCTGATTTCAGAAAAGTTCTTTTTTTTTTTTACTTATTTTTACTTAAATTACTTTGCTTGCAATATCTGTTAAGGGAAAACTGTTATACAATGAAAATTTAAAAAATGTTCAGAATTTTGATTTAAGTTAAAATATTTAAATATTAATAGGTGCCAAGCAAATATAATAAATATGGCTTATTATTTATTTTTTCTATTTTGAACTGAAATTTCATTATTAAAATCTTGTAATATAGTTTAGTTCTACATAGTTTTTTTTTCTCTCATGGTAAACTAGTTCTGTAAATTGAACTGTTATTTAAAATTAAAAAAAAAAAAAAAAAAAAAAAAATGTAATTTTTTTCCATTGTTGAGTAATGCTCATTCTCTCTTAATAAATACTGTATTTCTCATAATTTAAATTCCAAGCCTAATTTTTCTTTTAATGTTATGCAGTTGTGTATAATGTAATTAGACAGGTGCTAATTTGTTTTCTTAAATTGTGCTTAAAAAGTGCTTATAGGTGCTTATTTTTTTAACTAAAATGTGGCTATGAACTCTGTGAAGTTGAACCATTAACCACGCAAAAGAGCTGCATTCATTTGTCTCGAAAACTGTGACACTGTTAGTTATTTTAGAATGCACTCGTGTTACAAAGTATGCGTGAGGTCAGACTACACCCACGGAGCAACAAAGACACACTGAAACTCGCAGCACAAAAGTGCTGCATTGCGGTTTTCGAGACAAATGAACACAGCGCTTTTGCACCGTGTAGCAGTCAAACGGTTAAGGGGTCCAGGAAGGGCTGGACAGTGACCTCACTCTGGACAGCCACCAACAAGCCAAACTGATGAAAAGGTGACTCATGTGTATGAGTTGTTGAATGCTGGCCATCAGATGAGTCTTCAACTGTTACCTGACATTCTGAACTTTCCAAAAATCATTGTGCATCACATTGTTACTGATGTTACCGTTGAAGAACTGAACATGTGAAACCTGTGCGCTAAGCTGGTCCCCAAATTGTTGAGGGACAAGCAAAAGGCCAATCGAGTTTTGATCAGGAGTGAACTGAAAGAACGTGTAGAAATTGAACTATATTATTAGAACAACCTTATTACTGGTGATGAAATGTGAACATCTCAATATGACCCAAAGACAAAATGCCAAATGGTATATCCCAGCATTCCTGAAACAGAAGAAGGCGAGGATGAGCAAATCTGAACTGAAGACAATGTTGATTGTCTTTTTTGTTTGCAAGAGTACCTAAATCTAGTATCTCAAGGACAGATTGATATTGCTGTCAACTACATGAGTGTTCAGGAAAGTTTGCAGAAAGGGGTCATACTGATGGAAAAAGACATCCCATGGCTTCTCCATTACAACATGTGCCCAGCCACACATCTCTGTGTGCCCATGAGTTCCTGCTGAAGGATAACGTGGGAACACTACCACAGCCACCCTACAGTCTTGATCTCATTCCAACTGACTTCTTTTCATTCCTCCAAATCAAGATAGTACACAAAGGATGCTGTTTTGATGGCATTGATGCTATCCAAGCATCTGTGACAAATTTAAAGGAGTTTCCCATCAAGGCCTTTAAGGGGTTGTACTTGGTAGAGTTGGAGGAAAGAACATGTGTATGCTCATGGACAGTATTTGAAGAATATTAACCCTTTGTACAGGTCTTGTTAATAAATCTTTTTTAAACAATATATTTCAGGACTTTTGGAACGCACTGTAGTTTATATCAGCAGCACAGTACATTACATTTTATTGAGTAATTTAAAATGAGTATGCATACAGTATAGGAATTTATATGTATTTTTAATAGTACTTCATTGATACTGTATTTGGTGGTACATATAATTCATGTGATCCCACAAAATTAATTTGTATACTTAATTGAAAATTTTTATAAACCATTTGTATGATTATTTTAACTTCTAATGCCACATACTAGACCTTCAACAGTGAGGTTTTTTTTTTTTTTTTTTAAGTTTAAAGAAAATACTGATATCTGATTAATATTATTAAGGATAAATGATGCATTCCATTGTATTCAGCAGTTTAAAAGCATTATACATTGTAGAGCTGTTAGATTTTTTTCAAAGCGTAGATTCAAGCTGTGGATTTTCTGATATTAGTGGGTTATGCTACTAGTTGCAATTGAGAGTGTGCTGAGAGAGAAGGCAAAAATTCTGTGTTCTTCCGTACTTTGAGGAGAGTGAGACCTAGTCATCCTAACTAAGCATTAACTAACTATGGTGGCAAATAATCATTCACCTAATTTTAGTTGCACATCACTGTGCAGCTACTAGAATTTTTCAAACCTAGGAAAATGGAAAATAAGGTTTCCCTCTTCAGGATTTGAATCACGGGTTTTCGATTGGTAGTTGGAAGTGCTATCAGTTTAACCTGAAGAGCATACATGAGCAGAAGAAGATGATTCCTTGTAATATCTTCTTTATGTTTTTATTAATAGAAATTGATCGATAAAACTTTTAATAGATTTAATTTGTGTTTTTTAATGTACTTAAATGATAAATTTTATAAACATCTTCCATTACTGTAATGAATAATTAAATATTTAAGTTATATATTACTTAATATCTAATTATAAATAATAATACAGTACAAAGT